CTCCCCGACACACAACAACGCGGTCAAGCTGCTCAGACATGTTCATCAGCACAAACCTACGTGAGCACCTGTTGTCATCTAATGTTGTCATTATTATGATGAAGATGAACAAAACAACAGGAGTCTCCCCCTCAGCTCAGATCAACCCCACGATGCAGGTATCTGGCTGGAACAGGTGAGCATCACAGTAAACCAGTGGAGCAAACTGAGCATTAAATATGTTGGTTTTCTGCTCTTTTTCTGCTCCAAAACATGAAAGTTAACAGGTGAGATGTTGCATTTTCATTTAAGATAAAATGATATCTTTATTTTGTTGTTGGCACGTGAGAAAAGATTTAAAAGATTTTAAAAATGCTGATTATACCACAAGTAATGAATGCCACTGATGCCTTTTATTTAAAACTGACTTGCTCGTGTGTAATTTGGTTATTCCACATTCAGTGTTAATGCAGAAATAAGTTTGTTTCCGAATTTAAAGGTTCAAAATTGCATATATGTTGATAAAGAAAATGTGCAAATTTGCCGCCACTTTTTCAAAAAATATTAAGTTTGGCCCTCGACTCCGTCCCAGAGTTTCATTTCGGCCCCGTGTGAGTTTGAGTTTGACACCCCTGAACTAAACATTCACCTGAGCAGAAATGAAACTGACTATTTTTGTAATGGCTCAATAATCCTTTCTTGACCTCGCACTCTAAAACCTCATAAACCATCTTTCATACGCTGTATTTTTACAAATTATAGCAATAAACTAGCGAGTTACGTGAAATGACATTAGTATTATTATTATCATTATCAGAATATTTCTTGTGCAACAGTCCTGTGTGGCTCTCCTCTGGCATTTGTTGATGAATTAGCTTTTTTTTTTTAAAGATGCCACAAGCCAAACAGTTTTTAGGCTAAAGGCAACACTTGTGATTAAAACCAGAAAAACATAATTCTCTAAAAATGCTACTCCGAGCCAGCAAACCTAAATGACAAAATGAGAGCAGGATTTTACCAGACAAAAAAAATGCTGTTTTAATGAGCGCATATGTTCATATTTTTTTACACCACAATTATAGATGTCACACCAGTGTGTGCAGAAATGCCTCGCAGTGCTCACACTAACGAAACCGTGTCGGTAGGAGTTACAGCTTCACTGAAAATAGCAACTAAGACAAAAACGTAATGAATTTTCAGTGGGAGTCAGAACGAATGCTGGACTTAACGTCACCGTGGTAACCCAAATTCCCAGCTGATGCACATTTGATAGTCAAGAGATTCTCTGCTCAGTGATGAAAGACTTTGATAGAATGAGTTTAAAAATCGTAGCAGTTGAAGAGTGAAGCATTTCAGGTATCTTACTGCAGTTTCTCCAAAAATGGTTACATCGAGGTATAAGTTTGCTTTTGGTTTCTAGACTGCAAGATCACGGCATGCAGTCAAACGAAATGTAAGTGAAGGAGATTTAATGCTATGATGGAAAGAAAATCAAGACACGTTTGAAATACGTGGATTTGCTTTATGAAGATTTTGAGAGAATAACTCATTGTTCATGATAAATTTAAATCATTTATGTTGCAACGTTAAAGGTTGAATTTGGAACACGAACTCCATAGTGACATCTAGTTGCAACAATGAACAAGGTTTCCAACCGTCGGGAGGTCAGGTTCACTGCCGATACATGAAGTGACCAGCCAGCATCATGTCCAGTGGCAAATCGCAAAGGGTATGGACTAACTTCTGCTAATATGTTTAAAACAGTATTTAATTTTAGAACATCTTCTGGGCTCAGAAGCAGCTGCCTGACTTGTCGAGTCCGCCATTTTCCACACTGCCAGCCTCGCTGTGCCAAGCAGGCTGTTTACCGTATTTGGCAACCAGCAACGGTGCCCACTATTAGCTGTAAACATTAGCCCAGGGTCGTGCCCATCAAAATAAATATTTCATTATTTTTAATTAAAACATAGATTTTAAAGGAAATACGGTACCTTCATTCTGCACACCTCATGGAGGCATTACTTTTTATAAATTGTAGCTTTTTTTATTTTATTTAATTTTGCCATATTTAACCTTTAAAGGTTTGGGAAACTAGTCTCATAAATACATTTGCTGTGGTATGTGTAGGAATGAATGCCTTGTAAGCCATACTCGGGGCAAAAAAGCCAGAACCACCTGGATCAGCAGGGACGAGTCTGCTGTAGCAGAGTGGCACAACACGGCAGGATTTGGCGTCTTATTTCCTGATATTTGGATATTGTGCCTCTGATTGGCAAACTTGGAAACTCATAGTGACCCATTATAATTAGAAATAATCATTAAAAATTAGTTTTAAAAGTTCCTTAATTTTAACTGAAAAACAGCTGTTTTGAAGCATTAAATAACTACAAAATCTAATCTGACAGCATACGGTCTATTTCAGTTCTAATATGTCCCGAATGACATTCCAGTTCAGTTCAGACTGAAGTAGAGATGGTTCACCACGCGGTCAAACTGAGTATAATCAAATGAAACTTGTTCAAAAACCACTTTAAAACAATATTCGTGGAAAGGAAATATTACACTATATTCAAAATCAATGAAGAGTGAAACAAGCAGAAAAGCTTAGAAAACGCGATTTGAGGCATAGATAGAGGATCCCTGCAAAACACGCGGAGCCAGTGTAACGGACTGAGCAGGCATAGCCTTCCACTGGTGTTCATTGTTGGTGCGACAAAAAACAGAGGAGCAGAAAATCCAGTAATAATTCCCAGGTGTACAGGAACAGTGCGTCTGCACAAATTCCACTATAAACACTAAAGTTAAATGAGCAGGGCTTCACAGAACAGATGGACAATAAACCCAAATTATTCTGTCAGAGACACCAAGGAGTTATAGAATGTTTAAAAAAAGTTAAACATTCTGCAGTTGCAGACTGATTAACCCAATCAAACCGAGTTTCCCTTGCTGACAAAGGGAGTAACCGAAGTCAACTAAAGGCAAAGCATCACAAAAGAGAACATCTATTCTTGTTGAATTCTGTAGACTCTATTGTCCAGACAGTTGCTGCCAGGAATAGGTTTTCGGTAAAGTATTTAAATTAAGTTAAGATTGATTAGCATGAATGTGTTTTAAACCTTTTAAACATATACCATATAACAAGCAAAGCTCTAATACAGATTTTCTGCTACATCAGAATAATAGAAAAGCTCAGTGCTGTGAAAAGTATTTAAGACTTTTGTTTTTGGCTTTCCTTTTTGTTCACATTCAAATGTTGCAGATCAGTAAACCGATTAAAGTAGAAACAAAAATAACCTGAGTAATTACATGTTTTCGTGAGATGGTTTATTCAATTAGGAGAAAAAATAATCTACCCAAACCAATCTGGCACTGTTCTAAATGGTAAAGAGTAATAAGCAGGAACAGGAAGCGGGCTAAACAATCTCAAAAAGCATTGTTCCGAAAAGCTGTGATGAAGGAGCCCAGCATCACAAAGTCATGGGAAATATTTTATGGACTCAACAGACAAAAGTGGAACATTTTGGAAAACTCTGCATCTTGTTGCATCTGATTTAGAATTTAACATTTCATCTCAGAAAAGGAAAACCATCCCAGCAGTCAAACATGGTGGTGGTAGTGTGATGGTCGAGGGCGTCTTTGATGCTTTGGGACCTGGACAACTTTCTGTAACTGATGCATGAATTTAACTATTTATCAGAACTCTTACAGAAGGAAAAATCACTTTTTATAGAAGAAATACAGTCTCACCAGAATATGAATTTTTTTAGACAATGAATTTATGACATTGATTTTCGTTCTGTGAAATTATGTATTAGAATTTTATTTTTTTTACTTTTATTTTTACTTAAAGTGACAATGTGTATTTTCCCTGGTGATGAGGGTAGTACAAACCTCAATCATTTCAAATAAGTATAGTTTTGTGTTTGAGTGAGACCTTACCAACAGATGGCCATAAGGGTCAAAAATCACTGGGAGTGCAACTTCCAGCAAATGACAAGCATATCAGACTTCCTTTCATGACTGGCAATGAGCTAAGATGTAAGTGTGTAAAACAAGATTTTAAACAGCAAAAGTTTTGTAACCGTTTGTTAGAAATCAGTAAATGCACTTTGCCCTCACAGGCTCCCATCGAAGGAAATATGGCATCTAATATGGCGCCACCCAGAGACTTAGACCCTCTTGTGGATTTTAGACCTGATTTTCATGGTTATATGTTACGAGGCCGCCAATATTTTTCACAACTGCTAGTCATGTAATTAATTTTCAATAACATTTTGGTGGATATTTCCAGAGATTAACAGTAAAAACTACACTTTGTCTCTTTAAAATAGACCAGCAAAAATTTTGTCCTTAAAAATTCAACAAAAGTCTAAATCAGAAATTGAACAGCAAAAATGACCTTTGTAATTTACAGCTGTGTAAAAAAAACACATCTTAAATATCACTAATGCCCAGCCCAGTGTGTTTTTTATCTAATGTTCTTAAGCGTGTGTGTGTGTGTGTGTGTGTGTGTGTGTGTGTGTGTGTGTGTGTGTGTGTGTGTCAGACGATGAGTGTAATGGGGGCATTATTGTCATATTGCTTTTATATTTATGGGGAGGGAGGGAATGTGGGGTCATTTTCATTTGTAAAGCACTTTGAGTCGCACTTATTGTATGAATTGTGCCATTTGAATAGAATTTTGATTGACTGATTTGAAATGCATGATTGCAGTTGTTGCTGTCAAAATGACTAAATAAAATTGTTATTTCAAAAGTGTAGTTTGCATTCACTTTGTATTTATTTTTGTCTCACAATGATTTTTTTTGGGCTAATATAAAACAATTAAATGTGAGAAAATATGCTCAAAAAGAATAAATCCACATTTCACAGCACCGTGTAGATCTCCAGCTTGATCAGGTTTTGATAAAGAACTAACCCCAATAAAATGTGTTTGTCAACAAATGCCAAGCATGCTAATAAACCAAGGAAAACCAATTCAAGAGGACATAAGAGACAGAATGAAAAATAAAGCAGCTCACACAGGCTGGGAGAATTCAGGGGCTTCGTCGTTTACGTTTGCCATCCTCACACGAACCGTTGCTGTGCCAGAATGAGGCTCATCTCCGCCGTCCACCGCCATCACCACAAATTCATACAAATGGTTAGACCTCTCATAGTCGAGGCGCCTGGCGGGGAATACAGTCCCATGAGGTGAGATGCTGAAATCCGGGCTCAGGGTGTAATAAGTGATCTCTGCGTTTAACCCCGAGTCACAATCCGTGGCCAGAACTGCAGGGAAGAAAGATACGACACAAGGAGCATCAATTAAAAGCTGATAAAAAAAAGCTGATGAGACGGCATCAGCTGATGAATCTGTTGACATCTGTGTAGATCATTATCGCTTTATGGCCTTGCTAAACATGAGATACATCATGAGTTCAGACAGCTACGATTATTGGAACACAACATGCTCCCTGCTAGAATGATTACCATCATTTGCAAAAATGAGCTTAAAGACAAGAAAAAGTAAAGAATTAAATGAACGGTGTGTGTGTGTGTGTGTGTGTGTGTGTGTGTGTGTGTGTGTGTGTGTGTGTGTGTGTGTGTGTGTGTGTGTGTGTGTGTGTGTGTGTGTGTGTGTGTGTGTGTGTGTGTGTGTGTGGTTGAAAATGATTACGTTCCGTGGTAATTGTACAGAAAAACTATAAATTTGGTTTTAGATGTGTGATGACATTCTTCCCACAGCCACTGAGCATTCCGGTTGCTTCACTCTCATCCCCTCCAGATCAAAACTCTGGAATACGTCAAATTACTTTGATGTGTTTATTTGCTGCACGTCGAGCAGCCTTTGCATGTCAGTGCCTTCGGTTTTTTCCAACCCAGCACCTTGTAAAACAGATGATATCTGGTAATTTATGGTAGTCTCTTTATTTAGCTTGTATAACTTGAATGACTCATTAAATGTTAAAGAACTGCGATAACATATTTCCTTTACACTCCACTGTGATAAATATTTTTTTTTTAATCTTTTTTGTCATGAACCTCAGCGGGTCGTTGCCCTGTGGACTCGTACTGATAGACTAATGGGGATTTTATTCTCTCCATGTCCTCAGAAAAACTCTGATATTTCATTGCTTTGATGAGCGGCCCACCAGATTAACAAATTAACTCCCTGTCTTTTCACATCGCAGCTCCGAGTCTGTTTATGGAATAATCTAACTTTAATGCTCTTAGTGTCCTCGTCTCCTCTTCGATTCCTTCTTTGCCAACTTTTCCAACGAAACTAATTTTTCTAGCTGCACTGGCTTGTATTTGTTACCGTTTATTTTCTGGAGCTGGATCCCCAGAGCCAACATTTTCCACACTTCACTAATGAAGGTTCTGCATTTGATTAAGTCTTGATTAAACTCATTCAACTTGTCTTAATCAGAATGCCCTAGAAACTATTGTTCAGACAGAGACTCCCATGCATCACCTGCTGAAGCCCAAGCACCAAAGAAAACCACAAACTGCTGAGAAGAGTAATGTAATAAGGTAAATCTGGGTGGTTTAGATTACTAAGCCTAAATTCTGCAGAAATCTTAACCCCTGCCATGCATGATTACCTGAGATTTTTGTTATATTTGTGCTTGAAGATTGTTTTTTTTTCTGTAAACTCTTTTCTGCTGCCAATTGTGCAGCTGTATTTTGTCTGAAGTGACACTTGTTGTTTATAAATGATGTTGCAAGATGCAGAAAGATGCACGTCAAAATCAGCAGAAATCATGCAACGTTGATGCATAGCCTTATTGAATTAAACAGCAGTGTGCTACTGGTTTTGATAAAAACATGCTTAAACGTTAAAAAATGAAGTAAACTAAATCTCTGAGGAGGAACAGGAAGTTGGTACCCTCCCTAAAAAGTTTGGGCAGTCTGTGTTTGTTCTGATGGCGATAACGAACACAAATTAGGAGTAGAACCAGCTGACTGGATGTTCTACAGAGCTCATCTTAGTCCACGAAGGTGGGAACTACGGATGAGCAAGAACATCACTATCTGTATCTGTTCAATCATCTAAATAATCTGTATCTGTATCTGTACTCGGAGTGGGTGTGGCCTAACCCGGACGTGGGTGTACTTTAACCGGAAGTGGGTGTGGTTTACATAAATACGTTATTTTAAGTCTGATCAGAAGTTGATATGTGTATTGTTTATTTGAAAACTATTTACAGAGCAGCCTCCGAGTTGAGATTAAATGTTTTGATCACAATAGTAAAGGAACTATTACAAAACAAGTTTTTCAATAAAATCAGAACATTAATATTTAAGTGCATGAATTAAGAGAGAGAAGAAAAGATCTTTTCTATAGCGCCTCTCAAGATAAAAGTCACAAGGCACTTCACAAAAACAAAACATGTAAGATAAGAATTTAGAAAATGATTAAAATATATTTAAAATGAGCAAAAAATAGACAATTGTGATTAAAAAATGTAAAGAAAGAGAGAGAGTGAATGGGAAAGAGGGAGTGGATCCTGAGGAAGAGGAGAGACAGAGAGAGGGGAAAAAAACCCGACCGGTGCAAAGACTGACGCAGCACGAGCCATTTTCAGCTCTGTCTTGTCAAATGCACCACGTACGTTATGAAAAAAGTAACTTTAAATAACTTTAAAGTAACTTTTAAAAGAAGCTGACTGAAGAAAGCATAGGGAGTACTGAAGAAACGTGAACAGTGAAGCAAGCACAGAGAGAGCTGTTGCTGTCTGTGTGTGCGTGGATGGACCGCATGTGGACTGAGCTGTGAGCTCCCGGCTGCAGAGTTTTGCTAGTAGGGAGGGGTGGGCGCTCTATTTGACTGGCCAATCACAGAGCGTGAAGACAGTCAGTTACCCAATGAGGAGTTTCCTTCAGCACGATTACGGATATTTACGAGTTTTACTCATCAACATATAAATATTGGACAATGGGTTTCCATAGGCTCCAATAACACGTTTTTGAGGCCAAATGGGAGGTGGCCACCACCGCCATTTTGACCGTTTCACAGGTTCCGTCAAGCCCAGACAATTCCACAAAAGGGAAGAGAGGTGGAGCTGAGGGTGGGGCTGTAAGGCTGGGATCAACTGACGACATCCGGTTGAACTAGCTACAAGCTAACCTGAAGCTAACCCAAAGCTAATGCGGAGGTGGGAGCTAAGCTAACGGAGGTAGCAACCTAGCTACAACCGGCGTTAACTGTGCACAACACCAGAGCTTCTGAGTCAGAGATACGCCGGGCTGACCGCTGGGTAAAACCGGGTGGAACACAGAGGTCTCCGAGAGCTCCACAAGCTGGCAGCCGCACAGCAGACAAGCGCCGCTACGATCTGAGATGTGCAGAGCTGCCGCTGGGGAGAACCGGGTGGAAAGGTTTCCATCCCAGAGCTCCACAAGCCGGCAGCCCGTGCAGCAGACAGAAGCCGCGATCAGACAGAGATGCGCCGAGCTGCGGGGAGGGGAGAACCGGGTGGAAAACATCGGTCTCCCGAGAGCTCCACAAGTCGATAGTCGGAACCCAGCTCCACCAACATTTTATATTTCAACCCATTTTCTAAAGTGCAGCATTATGTTAAATGCACTGGGTTTTACCCTATTACATTTAAATTTCATGGTTAAACAGTACATGTTAAAATCTAAGCTCAGCTCGGCAGTGACCTAAAATACATAAATATAATTTTACTTACCGGAAAAAATGAAGTGGAGACTCCTTTGACGCTCTATTAGTGCAATTAATGCCACAGCAAGTCATTTAGTCCAACAATTGCACAAAAAATATCCAAAAAAGAATACACAAACACAGAGACTCAAAATCCCCGAGCAGTTTCCAACCCAGACCGAAATTCTACTGAGGCCTTTCCACGGAGCTAGCTCTGTGGTCACATGGGTTGGATGCTCATTAATTATACAGAATTTTAGGCTTTTAATACACTTAAACAGAAGAGTGAGAAAAAAATTCACCCCCCTCAGAGTTGTCATGAGTGTAAACTAGATAATTTAAACCAAAAACATGTTTTGGTACCAGGCTGTAAACATGTTTATTTCTGCTGTGAAATTGGTATTTTTACATGGGAGTCCATGAGGATTTGCTCGCTTCTGACACCAGCCCCCAGCGGATGAGGGTGGAACTGCAATTTTTGCTACTTCCGGGTTGGCCTCAATTTTTGAGCCGCATTGTGGGGGCTTGTTTTTACTTGTTTCATGCTCGTACTCGTCAAAAATGATTTATCCGTACCGGATACTCGTCTGAAACGGTTATCCGGCTCATCCCTAGTGGGAACGCTACCTGGTCCCCTCTCTGTGTGCAGTAAATACAGTTACAGAATCCAACCTTCAGAGGAAAATGTGCAGCTTGTCCGTAAAGTCTAAAAATATTATGTTAAAAGATTTTAGGAACCCTTTAAGTGTCATTAATTACATGCAGTAATCAGACTCACATGGCATGGTGTATTTTCAGGAAGATCCTAACCCACACAGAAAAGCACAGAGGAAAAAAAAGAAAAATTGCCTGAATTATGTGTCATCTTTGCATTGCGAGGGGCCATTTTGCTCAAAGTCCCTCTTAATTTGTGATTCAAATATCTTGTTCTACCTGGTGCCGAGGCTGAAAACAGCAAAGTACAGAATCCTAAAACACTCGAATCTCCAGAGTGCAATCACAAGTGCTATTTTATTTAGAGATCATAGTGCTAGTGTCAAAATATTTCACACATAAAAAACAAACACCTGCACCACACTGGTGCTTTTCTACACCTTTTATCCTATAGTCCCTATAATTGGTGTGTATGTTTAAGATAAGCAGTGGTGACAGCTATTAATTTGCCTTGGGCCTTGTAATTGGAAATCATACGGTATTCTTTATAAATAATTCAGAATCAGGCATGTCATTAGTCATACAGAACATTATAAATCAAAACAAATGTGATGTGTCTGGGCAACAGCGGGTTATATTAAAGCAGCTAAGGTTATGAAGGGGAAATGGAAACAGCATGTGTCACTAAGCTGAAACAAAGAGAGTCGAGGTCAGAGGTGAAACGTTGAGTTTCATTTAAAATCCATCTGCTGCTTTCTTGTAGAACCTGCGACTTTTGGATTACTCCCCTCTCCATTTCAAAAGGAAACCAGATGGATGTGAAATACGGGGTCATAGGAGACTCACCCTGCAGCAGTGATGTTGCCGTGGTTACAGTCTCGGGCACTCCATCGACAGTATAGATGGACTGGAGGAACTCGGGGACACAATCATTTTCATCCGTTATCAACACCTGAACCTGATTAGTGTGGTAGAGGCAAGGAGAGTCAAGAAGAAGAAGAGAGGAGGGGAAAAATCTGAGTGAAAGAACACAAAATTAACCACTCTTTATTAACTCTCAAATCCGCAAGACAACCGTATCAAATTCTCCGTGCAGAAAGTTGACCCCAAAACTTAATCTTAATTGCATTTTCTAGTTCCGCTAGTTGCCTGTTCAACTCATCCTTTATCTTCCACTTCATGATTTTCCCCGAGTCAAAAATAGAAATGTTTTGAGCGTGCGAGTGCCTCGCTGTGTGTGTTTTCGACAAAAGCCCTTAGCTGTCCTCCATCCTACAAGCTCCCTGTCACCGCAGTGTGTAAAGTGTGAAGTGACAGCTGAGTAATAGTCCTGAAATAGCTGGGAACGGTTTTTCCCAGTCTCCATCTCCGACTCCGCAACATGCAGCGGTGCAGAAGGAAGATTTTTGTCTGCTAAATCTGTGGTGGGAAGTGAGCTTGTGACATGATAATTGTTTAACAAAATCCTTAAATGAATCATTTAAACATGCATAGTTTGATAAGAAAGGCTCATTTGTGGACTGTGATTTCAGATTCTGAGTTTTTAAACCTCATGACGTGTTCTATGAGTCATCTCCAGATGTTTTCATTCTAAAACAAAGAAATAAAAGGTTAGGGAGGAAAAAATCAAAACCACCAAGCCCCATGGTTCACTTGTTAACATTTCAAAACCACCCAGCCGTGCCAACCCTGCTGAAAGTGACAAACTCTGCAGCTCCTCCTTGGAGGTTAGCGTTGAGCAGTGTGGTGTCAAGAGGTCAGCACTGAGTTTTAATCGGTGGAGTTTTTACAGCCCTGCCAGTGGTGGGGCAGCCCTGGGGGAGCGAAACACTACTCCACTGATCAAAAAACAGAAACGAAGCAAAACTAAATACAAATTTAAACTATGAAGTTTCACAAAAATCAGCAAAAAAAACAAAAACAAAAAAAAAAAAACAAGAAAACAAAGCTGCACGTGGCAAAAAAACATGTCAAACCCTGACTGTTCCATTTTGAAAGTAAACTTACTGACAACAAAGGGGAGAGAAAAAAATGTATAATGTTTGGAGACAATAAAACATTTTCTGAAATGTCTTCATTGACTGATCTTGTTTTAGACTTGGAAGCGGTACTTTGCTGCAGTTCAGGGACACAGTGCTGTCAAGGAAACGCTCAAACTCCAAGGTTTTCATGGCTTAATTCACCACGGCGACAATAAACCTCAGCTTGACGGATGCAATGATAAAACATCAAAGTGGACCTGAGCTTTGGGCTTATTGGAGCAGAGTGCGTGAACTCTCATTCGACTCAGTGTGATTGATCTAACCTCTGCGGCGGCGCTGAGGCTCCCAGGCTCCTCGCTGGCTCGCACCATCAGAAGGTAGCGTCGCTGGTCGTTCTCGTAGTCCAGCGTCCTGGTCAGACTGATCTCGCCCGTCTCCTGATGGATGCTGAAAAGGCTGCTGGGATTGATGAGCAGACTGTAGCTGATCCGCTGCTTCTGGAAGGAAACGGCCAACACCACAAGGAAGCTGTGGAACAAATAAAAAGTGATTAAAAGGGAGTTAAACAAAAACAAAAACTGTCTGTTTGATTCGATTTCAGCCGCGCTCGTGTTGAATTAGTATCGAAATCCTCTTTTCCTGCATCAGCACTGTGTGGTAATGAAATCAATGACTTTATGCCCCATTGCTTACATGCTATAAACACGGTCAATCAGCACTTGTCAGTTTTTTGTAAGAGCGGAATGCCATTACGCAAATACCAGTGTTTGCTTCCATGGCTAAAGGAGTTTGCATTCCCTAACAGTGTGTGAGGATGATTGCCAGTGTTTGCTCGACTGCCCTGGTGTGACCAAATGAATACTTATTAACACGAGTCTTAAACAGAACCGTAGCAAGAAACAACTCCTAATGCGTGCTGCTGCTCCTGTCTGATTTACTTATCGTGGGAAATGTATTCACAGCTTTGCAGAAGATAAAAATGTCCCTGTGTGAGGCGGGCAATGAATCAATATGCCCTCATGCATTATCATCATATTACTTTTTATGTACAGTGCTCGGTTTATATTACAGGAAAGAGTCTCCTGGATTATATCTGTTTTATTTTGTTTATGATGACGTATATTTCTCCTTTCATTCTGCCCAGCACATTCATTGGTTTCATCTGCAGCTTGTTAGTCATTTAGTTCTCGGTGTGTGCGGGGTCGTCTTGTTAGTGTGTTTGTTCACCAAGCCGCTGTTTTTTATTCCTGCGTATCCTGCTTTGTTTACCTTTGGCTTGTTTGTTGTTCTTTAGATTTATCAGACAAGCGGCACAAGTTTTCTGCAACGTTTTTTTTGTCCCCGTGAGTTAATCAAAGTCTGTTTGGGTCTTCCTACATCTGACGCTTTATCGTCTTTTGTAGAAATAATAAAGTATCTGAGTTTTAGAGGATTACATCTGAATAAAGTTGCTGAATTGTAAAAAGGGGGGGGGGGGGGGGAGCACTATATGATAAATCAGCACACTACTGTAAACAAAATAGACATATACATCTTCTTCATCTGAAAGTCATCCTTGTGTTTGTGCATAACTTACGGCTGCCCTTCAGGAGTGTTCTCTGGGATTGAGATGGCATAGCTGGTGTTGGTGAACTGTGGCGCTCTGGCCCCTGCCACCACAGAGAGCATGGCGGGTGCGCTGTGACTTCCCGCACCATCAATAGCGACCACACTTAAAAGGTACTCCCTGTCCCTCTGAAACATCAGCCCTGTGGTTACCACTTGGCCCGATTTCTTGTCCACAGCGAAGCAGCCATCTCCACCTATGAAAGAATAAAATGGGATTATTTCATAATGCTTGACTTAAGCCAAAGTCAACAGTGCTGTCTTGAATACTAAATTAAATGTTTTAGAAAATTTTAGAAAAATCATCCTTATAGAAAACACTTTTGTCTATCCATGTTCATTTTTGGCTTGTTTCTCTTCAGAGTCGTGGGTGCCTATGTCCTGATGTCAGATTAAAGGGTACATCCTGTGTGGGCATAGAAATAAACAACCATTTACTAACACTCAGGGCCAACCCTGCGTCACTAGTCAACCGGAAAGGCACATTGTGGTCAGTGGAAGCCAACCGGGGAATTCAAGGAAAAGAACTTACATCATCCATGCAGAAACATCCCAGCTGTGTTTTGAGTCCAGGACCTTACAGGTAACAGTACTGCAGCACAGTTACAGGTTACAGTACTGCACCACAGTTACAGGGAACAGCACTGCACCACAGTAACAGGTAACAGTACTGCACCACAGTTACAGGTTACAGTACTGCACCACAGTTACAGGTAACAGCACTGCACCACAGTAACAGGTAACAGTACTGCACCACAGTTATAGGTTACAGTACTGAAGCACAGTTACAGGTAGCAGTACTGCACCACAGTTATAGGTTACAGTACTGAAGCACAGTTACAGGTAACAGTACTGCACCACAGTTATAGGTTACAGTACTGAAGCACAGTTACAGGTAGCAGTACTGCACCACAGTTACAGGTAACAGCACTGCACCACAGTAACAGGTAACAGTACTGCACCACAGTTACAGGTTACAGTACTGCACCACAGTTACAGGTAACAGCACTGCACCACAGTAACAGGTAACAGTACTGCACCACAGTTATAGGTTACAGTACTGAAGCACAGTTACAGGTAGCAGTACTGCACCACAGTTATAGGTTACAGTACTGAAGCACAGTTACAGGTAACAGTACTGCACCACAGTTATAGGTTACAGTACTGAAGCACAGTTACAGGTAGCAGTACTGCACCACAGTTACAGGTTACAGTACTGAAGCACAGTTACAGTACTGCAGCACAGTTACAGGTAACAGTACTGCAGCACAGTTACAGGTAACAGTACTGCACCATAGTTACAGGTTACAGTACTGCACCACAGTTACAGGTAACAGTGCTGCACCACAGTTACACGTTACAGTACTGCACCACAGTTACAGGTAACAGTACTGCACCACAGTTACATGTTACAGTACTGCACCACAGTTACAGGTAAAAGTACTGCTGCACAGTTACACGTTACAGTACTGCACCACAGTTACAGGTAACAGTACTGCACCACAGTTACACGTTACAGTACTGCAGCATAGTTACAGGTTACAGTACTGCAGCACAGTTACAGGTTACAGTACTGCAGCACAGTTACAGGTAACAGTACTGCAGCACAGTTACAGGTTACAGTACTGCACCACAGTTACAGGTAACAGTACTGCACCACAGTTACATGTTACAGTACTGCACCACAGTTACAGGTAACAGTACTGCTGCACAGTTACACGTTACAGTACTGCACCACAGTTACAGGTAACAGTACTGCACCACAGTTACACGTTACAGTACTGCAGCATAGTTACAGGTTACAGTACTGCAGCACAGTTACAGGTTACAGTACTGCAGCACAGTTACAGGTTACAGTACTGCAGCACAGTTACAGGTAACAGTACTGCACCACAGTTACAGGTAACAGTACTGCAGCACAGTTACAGGTTACAGTACTGCAGCACAGTTACAGGTTACAGTACTGCAGCACAGTTACAGGTAACAGTACTGCACCACAGTTACAGGTAACAGTACTGCACCACAGTTACAGGTAACAGTACTGCACCACAGTTACAGGTAACAGTACTGCAGCACAGTTACAGGTTACAGTACTGCAGCACAATTACAGGTTACAGTACTGCAGCAGCACAGAGCAGCCAGCAAGTATAATTGAGTGTGAAAATACTAAATCATTGATGTTACTATATAATTTCTTAATAAGAATTTCTCAATAATTATCTGATCTGGGGCTGCGCAGTGGCGCAGTGGTTAGAGCTGTTGCCTTGCAGCAAGAAGGTCCTGGGTTCGCTTCCCGGCCTGGGATCTTTCTGCATGGAGTTTGCATGTTCTCCATGTGCATGCGTGGGTTCTCTCCGGGTACTCCGGCTTCCTCCCACAGTCCAAAAACATGACTGTTAGGTTAATTGGTCTGTCTAAATTGTCCCTAGGTGTGAGTGTGTGTGTGTGCACGATTGTTTGTCCTGTGTGTCTCTGTGTTGCCCTGCGATGGACTGGCTCTCTGTCCAGGGTGTACCCTGCCTGATTGCCCGTTGACCGCTGGAGATAGGCACCAGACCCCCCCCCCCCCCCCCCCCCCCCCCCCCTTACAAAGTGAAAGGAATCAAGCGTGGCTCCTTGAGGTGTCTCCTGGCAGGAATTAATTCATTGCATCTTTTAACAAGCGCCCTCTGAAGCTACACAAAATGACGGGTTTGGATTGTCTGCACATAAATAGTAGCTCTTTTACAGCGTTGCTGTCCAGAAAGTTCAAGGACTCCCGTCTCACGCTGCCAGATGAGACCTGAAGACAGACTGGCCATCACATTTCTCTGGGTTTTATCACCAATGGCGTTGCAGTGTTGGTGGAAATGTCAGCCTTGAGCTTCAGTGGCTGGTTTGTCCCAGAAGCAAATATTTACAGAAAAACTCTAAAAATCATGTCAAGCCTTTTGACTTCAAACAATGCAAAACACACATTGTTTATTATTATTATTATTATTATTATTATTATTATTATTATTATTATTATTCTCAAAACACTGGAACATCTCAGAATGCAGAACTAAAGGACAGATAGTGGATGTTAAAGTTACGACACATGCTCTTATTTCTGTAAGCTATTCAGAAAAATGGTCTTCTGAAACCAAAACTGTGAAATATTATTTATTGAACAAAACTCTTCATTAATGATAGTTGGGAAGTGTTAGGGATTTCATACCGACACCTTTTGTTTGAACTGATCTGATATAAATAAAACATTTAATTTGAGAGCATCATACCCCATCAGATCGTATCTGCAGTATCAACATTGTGATTTACATTCAATAGAAAACAAGATTATTACTCCTAATTATTAAAATACACACACCAATTGTAAACATGAGAGCAATTCATTCAAACAGCTATCAGTTGCAACTGCTCACATGATCATAATGATCATAATCATGTTGCAGGTTGCTCACGTGTCAAACTCACCAAGAGGAATGTGTGTTTTTTATCATAATTTTAGATGTTAGCAGTAAAAGTTGCAGATGTGATCTATGTTGCATCTGAAAAGGGATGAGTCAGTCCTGGAAAGTATTCAAAACTATGTGCTTTGTCCTTGAGTGTGCTTTTAAATTGATGTGATTAAGATTAAAGGAGACCTTGCTGAACAAAAAATAAAATAAAATAAATGATATCAACAAATTTCAGGAAAAGACCAAACTGATGCTGTTTTCTACAGAACCAGAACCTGGCCCACCCTTTCTCCTCTTCTCATCCCTCCTGTTCTTATTGGAGACATTGTGTGTTTTGTTGACATTGATTAATTTTCAAAATAGATCTCAAAATGAATAAAGAGCTTTTTGGCTGAAATGTATTTTTAGTTACAAATTATTACACAATAAAGCACTGAGAGGGTAGTGAATCGAGAAATGAGCCAGAAATGGCTGTAGTCTGAGGCCTAATCCCAATACACTTGCACCCTTCAGTTGTGCGATCCCGGCCAGGGGTGCAAGTGTGTAGGGTGTCCCGATTCTCAAGTGCGGAAGTTGATCCCGCTCATTTTGCATCCTTGATCCACACTTCACCCATCTGCATCAATGCGGACTTGGGTGAAGTGTATTACCCACAATCCATAGCTGTGGGAGAAAAGGCTCAAGTGCCTTTTCCTTTTCTGAAAATAGTTACACATATTTAAATGTTTATTTTTGTAGTTTTTTTTTTTTTTTTTAGAAAATTTAGCTTGAAAGTTGTTAATGAAGGTTGCTTATTTTTTAAGTAGCACAACGACTAGCATCCCGGCATGTGTTGCAGTTGATGGCCCAATGTTCCCTGTCCCGATTCGGCTATTATTTGTGTCCTTGTGTACCACACATCTCAGATCCTTAATTCAATTCAATTCAATTCAATTTTATTTATATAGCGCCAAATCACGACAAGAGTCGTCTGAAGGCACTTTGCATAATAAACATTCCAATACAGGTCAGTTCATTAAGCCAATCAGAAATAATGTTTCCTATATAAGGAACCCAGCAAATTGCATCAAGTCACTGACTAGTGTCAGTGACTATACAGCAATCCTCATACTAAGCAAGCATAAAGCGACAGTGGAGAGGAAAACTCCCTTTTAACAGGAAGAAACCTCCAGAGAATCCCGGCTCAGTATAAGCAGCCATCCTCCTTACTGCTCACTTCCTCCAAGTGCACTTAACAGAAGACCGTATACACAACAAGAACTATTGGTCATTCCTAAACACAGACTACAATCTCGAGGGGGTCGTGCTTTCTCGGTGCTGGGGCCGAGGCTCTGGAATGAGCTACCTACATGTGTTAAACAGGCCACCACGCTCGGCAAGTTTAAGAGCCAGCTGAAAACACACTTTTATTCTTCAGCTTTTATTCAAGAAGAGCCTCGTTAACGGATGGTTTAGCACTTTTTTGCTGCCCCACCTAGATTTTATCTGCATGTATTTGTTGGTTTTTAAATGGTTTTATATGTTTTTATTTTTATTTTTTTTTATGTTTATTTTCAATTCAATTCAATTCAAGTTTATTTATATAGCGCCAAATCACGACAAGAGTCGTCTCAAGGCACTTCACATAATAAACATTCCAATTCAGGTCAGTTCATTAAGCCAATCAGAAATAATGTTTCCTATATAAGGAGCCCAGCAAATTGCATCAAGTCACTGACTAGTGTCAGTGACTATACAGCAATCCTCATACTAAGCAAGCATGCAGTGACAGTGGAGAGGAAAACTCCCTTTTAACAGGAAGAAACCTCCAGAGAATCCTGGCTCAGTATAAGCAGCCAGCCTCCACGACTCACTGGGGAGATTATCCATGTTTGGGTTAAAGTGACAATGTGTCATTTTTACCATTCGGCTCTGGAAATATCCAACAGAATGTTGTTTAAATTAATTATGTGATGCCCAGTTGTTGAAAAATAGTGGCAGGTTTTGTAACAAACAACCATGAAAATCTGGTCACACACACACACACACACACAAAGATAAGTAATGTGTCTATAGTTATATTGTGATGTCTTAGTAAATATTGTATTTGGTGAAAGATAAACTTTATTGTATTTATCCTAGTGGATAATTAAACGGATAAACTAGTATTAGCACATCAAAAGTCAATGAAAACAAAAAGTTATTATCAGGAGAGAGAGAATGTATTAGTGGTTAGCAGCAGTGTGCTAGTCGATGGCGCCCTCCATGAGGCCACCACAGCTGAGCAGAACGTCATTGTAGCTTCTTCTGGGGAGAAAAACACTTACAGAGAAAATAAAGTTAACAGCTGAAATTGCACAAAATAGTACAGTTAAAGAGCAGATTGTAGAATAAAGCAGTAGAGTGTGAAAAGTGGTCAGTGTGTCCTCCAGCAGTCTAAGCCTATAGCAGCATAACTACAGAGTTAACTCTGGATAACCTATCCTATTTAGATGTAGGCATGTTTGAGGCAGGGCAAGGGAGTGCTGTGCAGTGCTTTGTTTGGTCCTTGGGCCATGTGAAGGCGCTATATAAATAAAGTTTAGTAGTAGTTAGTAGTAGTAGTATAGGACGCAGTGCAAGTATTGGGATTGGGCCAATGACTGCGAGCATGTGCCACACTGTGACACCGTCTTTCACTCCAGCACTTTCCCTTTTGCTAAAACACAGTCAGTCTTACTTTAGATTTGTTGGGAATTATTGTCATTTTGTTTATTTCTTACCTTCCCTTAAAGAGATATTTCTGCCATTCAGAGTCTTACCAGTTGTAGATAATTGAGTCGGTGGCATTTAATTTTTAAGAATTATTTTCAAGTCCTCCAGGACTGATGAGCTGACTGCAGCTAAGAAAAGGGTGGATCTCATCACAGTCAAAAGCCACTGTTTCCAAAATTACAACGCAGTTTATTTTGTAAAATTTTACATTTCTCTTAATTTTGTATTACGCAGTTTTTTTCTAAACATTTGCAGTGGTTTCTAGTATTAGCACTGTGAGTTGATCTCTGTTTTTAAAAAGTTCTTGTGCTCCAATTTCAGGAGCTAGAGGTACGCCAGCACAGAGAGGAGCTTCAGACGGTACAATTTGGAGTCTTATTTCCTGTCATTTGGACATCTCTCCTCTGATTGGCTAACAGCAGCACAACTCTTCCACTGGCTTCCTTTGTTTTGCAATGGTGATATTTTATCTCCACAAATAACACAAACCTGGAGGAGTTCTGCCATGTTGTGGAGTTGTTATTGCTAACGGTTAGCTTCTATAAGCTGTGCTCTGCTCTCTCCTGGATGCTAAATCAACAAAAGCCTTCCCTGTCATGAGCCAGGATGGGTGAGTCCATGAATGCTGACTTGACATTACCACGTTGTCACTGGCTTTTCTAATCCAATCTTCTGTTTTCCATCAGCAGCTAATGCAGGAAATAGGGGTAGAAGACCATTTTCACGTCTAGCCTGCACGTTACACTCAAAGTTACCAAACATATTTGAAACATAAGTAAAATTCGTTTTTTCAGTGAGCTTGGCCTTTAAGAAATCCCTGTTGAAACCTATCTCTGGATGATCAAGAACAGCTATATTTTGCTATATTGGTATTTATAATTGTTAATAACCACATAGCTATATAAAAACATCTAATGCTAAATCAATGATCATGTAGGGGTTCATAAAATAATGTTGCATGCATTGAAACTTTGATCTTGCCCTGAACAACACAAATGCTTTTTCTCTAACCCTCTGGAGGCAGGCGTTGCAGATTTGCAACGTTAAAACCTACCTACCTGGATACTCCACATACGTGTTTCATGAGCATTTTTTAACTCAGAAGTACCCCTGAAGGACTTAGTTGTTTGTTATTTCATCAAAACTTATTTTGAGCCTGAGAGGGTTAAAAGTGAGCTATTCAGAAAGCTGTGTAAGTCCACCTTTTACACTCCAGAATGGACAAATACCTAAGCTACAACACATTCTCACTCCCAGCGTGTCCAAAACAAACGCTTGGTCAGCCACCCTCCGCCTCAGACCCCAGACGCCAAAAGTGCCCTTTTTCGTTACTTATGTGCGAAAAGGGGTTTTTCCTTTTGTAACTGCAGATCCCAATGCAGAGTAAAACTGACGTGATGCGATATCCGCTGATGCGGCACCGAACCAGCTCATTTAACCACACCTAAACCTTAACGTTTCACTATTTATAACCTTCCCCTCTCCCTCATCCTAACCTTAACCCTCTTGCTACTTAAAACGTTACCCTCACTGTGATCAAGCGTTTGTTTCCCATGCGTTCTGACTGTGAATTTTCGTATCTGCCGCCCAAGGGGAACGTTAGAACATACCATCTGGCGAGGGGGAGGTTACAGATACCCACATTCTCACTCCCAGGGCGTCAAAAACAAACGCTTGGTCAGCCACCCACCACATCAGACCCCAGACGCCAAAAGTGCCCTTTTTCGTTACTTATGTGCAAAAAGGGGTTTTTCCCTTTTCTGACTGCAGATCCCAATGCAGCATTACACTGACGTGATGAGATATCTGCTGATGCGGCACCGAACCAGCTCATTTAACCACACCTAAACCTTAGCGTTTCACTATTCATGACGTTCCCCTCACCCTCATCCTAACCTTAACCCTCTTGCTACCTAAAGCGTTACTCTCACTGTGATCAAGCGTTTGTTTCCCATGCGTTCTGACTGTGAATTTTCGTATTTGCCGCCCAAGGGGAACGTTAGAACATACCATCTGGCAAGGGGGAGGTTACAAATACCCTCTACTTTTAACCTCCACCTTGGTAGTTGAAACCTCCCTCTCGCGGTGGCTCGGTCCAAACTTGACCAATGACGAGGCGGCTCCTGCCGTTCACTTCATAGAGCCGGCTTTTAGAGCGACCGACACATCACTAACGTGTTCGCTAGCAAGATGGTTAAGGTTAGGATGGGGTGAGGGGAAGGTTAAATAAGAGGATAAGGTTAGGGTGAGGTACAATGAGCTTGTTTGGTGCCCTGGCTGCGGACATCCCATTGCGTCAGTGTAACGCTGCATTGGGATCTGCAGTCAGATAAGGGAAAAAACCCTTTTCGCACATAAGTAACAAAAAAGGGCACTTTTGGTGTCAGGGGTCTGACGTGGAGGGTGGCTGACCAAGCGTTAGTTTTTGACGCGCTGGGAGTGAGAATGTGTTGCAAGCTAAGCTTCATGACAATAAATACAGTTTTAATTGGAGGGATTTCCTTAGTTGTTTTACTTCTTGTTGTTGTTTGTTTTTTCATTGTTCTACAGACAGACAGCTGGTGGGAGTAATGCGTGAACAAAGGTACCAACGTGCCAACGGCACTGAAGAGGAATGGGACCGCTTGCATGCAAATAGTAATACAAACAATACACACATTTAAATATTAAAAGAGAAGACCTTATGAATGTTTCAGGAGGAGATGAAAGTATTGAAAATCTGAGATATAACAAGAGAAATGCACGACGGGCTTTGAGAAAAGATGTCTCATGATTATATTTATAAAATCAGGATCTTAAAGAATTGAATGTTTTCTTGTTGTGATGAAAATCTATGCATCGCGTTTTGGGGGTGTTTCTTTGGCAGGATGGTTAGAAAACTTTCAAAGTGAGAAAAAAGCGATCAACTACATCCATGAAATGTGATTTTGCTATTATGACTTATATTAAACAGGAGTGATCGAAATCTGTTGCTGCTGCATGGGTAAAGTTGTGTTTAGCACTTCCACTAAAAAAAAGAGGTCAGGCTGTGGTCATCAGGAGGCCAGTTACTCTCATGTCAACGTGCGGTTTTTCATGTTAAGCTCAGGATAAGCGGGTTAGATAAATACACATCAAATCCAAAGAGCACATTTTAATTACTTTGATTGTTTGCAGATTTTTCAGCTGACAAACATCCCTGTTTAAGAGTTCTTAGCGTGGTAATGCCGACAATGAAGCGCCTCGATGCAAGTGGGGTTTAACTCAAAATCAGGACGCGGTGGGATGTCCTGATTACAGTTAAACCTCAAGACGGAGGGAAATCAGAAAACCCCACGAGCAGCATCCACACATCCCCCAACCTCTGCCAGCAACCCTCAATCCCTTCAGCCACCAGGGGGTCTGCAGTGTTCTGGCAGACTTCCAGCAGCCCGCTGCATGTGTTTGTGTGTGACTGAATGTGTGCTTGCATGCATCTCGGTATGAAACAGAGAGAAGTAGACAGACAAGAGTGCATGAAAAGTGCATAAACAGATCTGTGAAGGCCTCCGGCTGTGTGTGGGATTTTTGTATTGAGCGATTGTGTACGTGTGCGCTGGAGGAAGAAAAAGGGACGGAGACAGAGAGGGTGAAAGAAAGACAGAGATGCTAATGGGTGCGTAAATACTATATGAATGCATGAATGAATGTGCGAATGCCCGTGGCTGTGTCGTCTCTGAGAGGCTGTGCTGGTGTCAGACCGGTTGTATTAATTTCCAAAGCTCGACAGCCTCCCGGCTCATTATCAGCAACGCAACACATTTGACTTCACTCACATACATTGTGTGGGTTTCTTTGAATGTGTACAAGCTGCAAAGCATCTTACCATCTGACAAGAAGTACTCTACTGCTCCACTTTTGCCCTCATCACCATCAATAGCCTGTAGCTGATAGACAAATGTTCCCGTGGGGGCCTCAGGAGACACGACAGCCATGTAGGGGTATGGCTTCATATTCCACTCGGGGACGTTGTCGTTGACATCAGTGATTTTCAGCTTCACCTTGTTCAGGAACCAGTCTGGACCTGGGGGACAACACAGAGGCAGTGACAGAGCTGTGATTACGTAAAGTGACAGCTGTCATGTAATTGTATGTGCAAAGAGGAGACAAGCAGCCGCAGAAATCGGAACAAACAGGAACTCCACTAAAGATGTGAGTGTGGGATGTATAAACCAATTCTTTAAAATGAAAAATAAAATAAAGAAACAGAGATATTATAAAGGTCAGTATTTCATATGCAAGCAATGTGGTCAGCTTTAAAGAGAGACTAGGCAGTTTTGGCTTGATTTTAGCACCCCCTAATGTCAGTTTGTAGAACCAAAAGCAAAACCCGTCTCCTTGCTGTGCGTTTGTCTAAAATCTAACAGCTGAAATGTCTCCTCAGCCTTCATTAGTGTCCATAACAGTGATTAGTCACTAAATCAAACAAATCCGCTGTGCTCATGATCTAAAACATGCAGGAAACATGCTGGACTGCAGAGGACCGGCAACTCTGAAGTTGCAAGTAGAATATTCTGGCCACAGAGGGTGATGGGGCTGGGGGTGGGGGCTGGGGGGTTCATTAACCCTGCAAAGGGTCATTTTAGCACAAACTGGCTCAAGAAAATTATTTTTAAATATGAAAAAGTTGCAAAGTATCCCTTTAAAGTAGACACACTTTGCAAAACTCACTTTTGCATCCTTTTGTGCTGCTATGAGGGTTTCTACCGTCCTTAAAAACATTCCAAACCTGAATAAAAAACGTTCATTGGTTTTTTTGTCAGTGTTTAGTTTTAGGGATTATACGCCTGAAAAGAGCTGTTTCAAAAAGTCCCCGTTTGTGATGTCACTAAAGTGGAAATTTGTATTGAAACAAGCTGGAGGAGCAGCGGTTCTACTCCGCGCTGCTCCTTGTAAACCAAGCTCTTCACCTCATAGCAGCCAGTCAGGGGGCATGTGGGCATGGACAGCTCCAGCTTGTTTTCTTAAAGTGGTGCAGCCCTGAAACATCTCGTTCTGGAAGGTTCTGAACATTTTAAGAATCAAGCTGCTTAAATTACATTATTTGAGAGGAATTTAGATTAAAGACTACCACACACATGTTTTGCATCAACCGTAGATTTATTATAGCTTCAAATAATCAAAATAATTAATCTTAGATTTAGGTTGTTGACTTGTGTTTTGTTTTTTTGGGTGGATGTGAGGTAGAGGCCGGTGGATGTGTTATCACCCACTCGTCCTCCATCCGATCGGCCACTCAAGCATGCTAGTTTCCCGCGGAAGAGAGCCTCAGCTTTGGTCTCATCCACCAAGTCTGGGTAAAGCTACCTTGATCTTCCCAAAAGGATGCAGGGATGACGCCTGAAGACAGCAGGCACTTTGTCGCCTGCACGCTGCCTCACTGGAGTGAATAAGAAGATTCCAAGAATCCAATTACCAGTGTGCTCAGTCTAAGCTCAGGCTGATTGCTAGAGAGCACAGCAGCTCACAAGGAGAGGCCGAGTGCAACTGCGTCTGCATGACAGAAGCGCTGCACGACTTTTGATTTCACAGATAATAGAGGATCGTTGTCTGCATTAAACACAATCTGAAACCTACATTCACAAAAGAAAAATGACAACATAACAGGCCCCATTAAAGAACTATTTTCATGCAGATCTACAGCCGCAAAGTGAAGCTATTCACAGAATTGAGAGCTACCACGCTACTTCCACAAACACTGGCTGTGATCGTGTGTCAGCGTGGCATGAGGGAATGTCAGAAAAGCTGCCAAGCAGTTCAGTGGGCTCCCATCCACAGAGGCCATCTGCCTCACCACAAAGAAGAAGATGCACCTCCTGCCAAGGAAAACATACTTGCAAACAGATGCACTCGCAGATTTACGCACAAGCAGAAAGATCTGACATATGGGGGAGTTTTCATTACCACACCCAGGCAACATGCTTTCACTCTCTGGATGTCTCCCTCCTGGTCTTTCTCTTACAAACACACACGAGTGGACACTCAAACACAGAGGTGAGCTACCTAAGAGCTAAAAGTAGCTGTGATCGCAAATCCTATTACGTAACAGGTCTCCGGTTTGTGACCACAGGCTATAAATGTGCTTTTGAATCCAAGAATAAAGAAGCAAAGGCTTGTGATGCATCCCGTCGGTGCTTGAAGTCTGACTCAACAGATTTTCTGTGGTAAACAAAACTGTTCTACTTTGCTGGTTTCCCTAATATTTTGCTGCACAAAGTCTCTCCAGAGTCTAAATTGACAAGATTGTGAGTGCATGGCTGTTTGTCTCTTTTTGTGCATCACTGTGTTGGGCTTGTGATGGACTTGTGATTTGTCCAGGGTGTTTCTTGCTTCTGGTCTAATGACAGCTGGGATAGGCTTTGCAGCAAAGGGTTTCCAGCATCTTGTATTCCCTCAAATGAGTCGGAAAGTAGAATGTGCATGTACACTTTTTTTAAAAATGGCTTATATCTGCATTTTCAAGGAATAATGCAATATAATGCACTCTAGACCAGCTCTGGAGCATTCACAACCCAAACACAAAAGCCAGAAAGTGTGTGACAGCCCCTAAAAGGATTGTTAGAAGGATAATAACAGTGAGAGGGAGAGGAAGAGTTGGAGGAAAGAATTAATCTGGCTTTCTGCTCAGGCTTTAGAGTCTCTTTCCTGAGGAGGAACAAGTTCAGGCTAGGATGTGACGGTAGTTCGTTTTAGATAAATAGCCACCATATTGTAGACGCAGAAAACCCAATCAATGCTCCGATGCTATCTGCTAAAATGTTGACAGTGGCAATTTACGCACTGTAAGCCAGATCATCCTGCTCTGCAAGATGGAACAATCCTTTTGTGATGAATTATGAGAAAGGATAGAGATTCTCCTGCAAAGTGTGTGTGTGTGTGTGTGTGTTGGGGGGGGGGGGGGGGGGGGGTTTAAAAGGCACTTAATCAAAAAGAAATCAGAGATGTAGCACTTAACATTTAGTTAACTATCAAATCTTTGCAGGGAGCCACGCAAGACACATTCCTTGCCTCCTGCTTGTTGGTGTCTTTCCCAAACATGTCTCTGTGGTAATGGTGGAGATGATTTTACAAGGCTCCATCTAATTAGCTTGTTACAGAGAGACTAATCAGAGCCAAGGCAGATAATTAGAGACTATCAGCTCTGGAATGATAATGAAGAATGTACTTGTGTGTGTGCATGTGTGTGTGTGTGTGTGTGTGTGCGTGTGTGAGACTTATGCATGGATGGGCCAGCGAGAGTGCACCGTCTCGTGCTCTCAGGCTACAAATGTGAGCGTTTTCCTTCTGATCTGGTGAGTTACGTAAAGAACGGGTGTGAACGATTCCCCCGAGCAACAAACCGACATGAGCCGCCCTGCCTGAACCGGCACAAAAAATATAGGTAAAATAGAAAAATAATTAAACAACGTGATGAAATAACAGGCAGAGCCTCACAGACACCAGTGGAGTCCCACATGCCGTGTGCACAAGGTATGATGAGAAGCTACTCCGTGTTGTGTGCTACAATCCCATAAGGATAAGAGCATCAGCTGGCTGACTAGCATAATAATGCTTCATATGAAAAGTTGGAAGATAGGAGTGCAGTTGGCTGAGGCTCAGTGACTGCAATGGCTACGGTGTGTTGGCATGTGTGTGAGTTTTGCATGAGTGTGTGTGCATTTTCAATCCAACGGCATGGCATTCTGTTGATGTTTCCTGCTGTTAATCCTCTTCTTGGGTGCATGCTAAATAAAGCCGCTAAGTGGCTTGCCAGTTTGGGAAAAAAAAAAAAGAAATAAGTTGTCTCAAGTGCTGCTCTGCACATATATGCTGCCCACAGTACAAATACACTGAGTGTGTGTGTGGGAAGGGGATGAGAGCAAACAGAGTAAAAGGAGAGAGGAGGAGATACAGGAACACCAATATCTGCAGGAAGAGAGAAAGAGCTAAGAGGGGGAAGAGGAAGTCAGCATTGTGGGAAAGAGCGTTGTGTGATACCGACCAGAGAACGTGGACTAACATAGAAAGAACACAGGGGAAGCACAGAAAGCAACAGAGCACAACAAAAGGTAGAGGGGGCGTCATTGATTGGAAAGAAAACACAAAGTAGCAGACCATGAAAGGAGAAAATTAAGATGGAACATGCCGTATAATTAATAACACCGAGCTTTTCTCAAGCATCCCTTGTTCCCTTTACCTCCATCCAGGGAGGGAATTAGGATACAAATACGTCTGCGTGGAATTAAACAAATTACGTCTGCGAGCATAAAGCATCAATGGCCCATGCGAGACGTGGAAATTCAGAGGTGCTCTTTAAGTGCCAAGAGAACGGAAAGTGAAAATCAGCTCAAAGGGGGAGTAATGAGGTACATTAACCAAATGCTTGCAGTGTTAAAGAGGCTCTGCAACCTCTGTTGCTTAAAGCTGAGTGTGAAGCCGTCAGCAGGAGATCAACATGCTGAAAGCACCAGGGACTAAAAAATCTATTAACTCTGCAGCAGCTGACATACTTTCCATGTAAACACACATTCTGGCAGACTCATCCCAGAACTATTAGAAGTAGTAGACCCCCTCTAAAGTTCTGCTCATTATTTTAAATCAAAATCGCTGATCCCTGAACACGTGTTTGTTTGATGAGTGTTAGATTAGGAGCCCGTGTGTGTGTGTGTGTGTGTGTGTGTGTGTGTGTGTGTGTGTGTGTGTGTGTGTGTGTGTGTGTGTGTGTGTGTGTGTGTGTGTGTGTGTGTGTGTGTGTAGCTTCTGTATGTGGAAGTCATTTGCAGCCCTGTCAGCATCACCTTGGCCCCAGTTAGAGCTGCAGAAAATGGAAAAGTAAAAACTTGTGTAACTTTTAGCTCTACACACAACCTGGCACAACAAAAGAGTCGCTGACTGGATTTAACTAAGCAAATAGGTAGGAGCCTCCTATTGGACAATGAATGCATGGCTGAGTATCTTTCAGCTGGTAACAAGTTATTTAACCCCAACTGGTGCAGTGAGTTGCTTCTCATTTCAACAACCTTGTGGAAAGACGCATGATCGTGGGAAAGGTGTTTGAGAAGGGTCAGATTGTTGGCCTGCATCAAGCAGAGAAAACCTCTAAGGAGATTGCAGAAACAACAAAAATTGGGTTAAGAAGTGCACAACGCATTATTAAAAATGGGTCTAATGAGTCCAGATGGACCCTGCTCCTGAGTGATGGGTGTATCAGGGTAAGAAGAGAGGCAGATGAAGTGATGCACCAATCATGCCTAGTGCCTACTGTAAGCCTGAGGTGGCAGTGTTATGATATGGAGTTGCTGCAGGTGGTCAGGTCTAGCTTCAGCAACAGGATGTGCTCCAAGAATGAGGTCAGCTGACTACCTGAATAAACTGAATGACCAGGTTATTCCATCTTCCCTGATGACACGGGCATATTCCGAGATGACAATGCCAGGATTCATCGGGCTCAGATGGTGAAAGAGTGGTTCAGGGAGCATGAGGCATTATTTTCACCTCAGAGTCCAGATCTGAACCCCATTGAGAATCTTTGGGATGTGCTGGAGAAGCTTTTGTGCAGCGACCAGACTATCCTCAATGCAAGATCTTGGTGAAACATTAATGCAACACTGGATGGAAATAACTCTTGTGGCATTGCAGAAACCTATTGCAACAATGCGACAGCGCATGTGTGCCATAATCAAAGCTAAAGGCGGATCGATACATTTTTAGTGTGTGACCTTTTCTTTGGTGACAACTTATTTTTGAGCAGGTGAGTGTTTAAAATCTTAAGGGGTGGGATCCTATGGAAAGGGAGACTAGGCAGTTTTGGCTTGCTTTTAGCACCCCTGAGTGTCTATTTGTAGGCTGTGTCTCAATTCAGGGTCTGCATCCTACCTCGGCCGGATTCGTCGGCCGGTTACGTCACAGCGCCGCGACTCGGCCTGTCCCAATTCGAAGACTCCTTCAAATGCGGTCGACGAATGCGGCCTTCTTTTCGCCTGAATGAAGGATGGGTCGGGTGTATCCTTCAATAGGTAGCATTTCCCAAGATGCCTTGCGGGCCGGCCGGCAGAAAAACTTAAAAACAATGGCGGACAGTGAAGCGGGAGCTGTCGGAGAGGATTGCGCATATAAATGTAAGTATAAACTTGAAAACTGTCAGTTTAAGGACTTTTTGTGATACATGAACGTTATTTTAGTTAGAAATGTTACAGTAAAAGTGCTTGTATTGCGGTCTCGGCTCGTATGTTCGGCCGCGCTCGGTGTCGTACTTCTCCCACTACGTTTCCCCCTGATTTTAATAGAAGTTTGTATTTTAGGACCAAAAGAGAAAACCAGGGAATTTATTAAGCTTAGGGCGGAGATGGACCACATGATCACCGGAGCAAAGTATTCGGCGGCTGTGGCATGGAGGTACAATAACATCTCATATTTTAAAAACTCGTTTGAGTATATTTTTTTCTGCGAAAACATGAAAGGAATAACCCGTTGTCCTCTTTTCTCTTCCTGTTTCTTTTCTTACATGTTTGTTAAGACTATTCTGGAGAAAATGGGCATCCAGGGGAAGGTGCCAGCGATGAGCTTCTGGAGCTGATCTGGGAGGACATGAGGCTGCAGAGCAGCAGAGAGCACAGGAGAGAAGGAAGAACTTTGACAGCTTTTTACTTTGCTAGAAAAAAATGGTTAATGAAGATTAAACATGTACATATAAAAGAAATATCTAAATAAAATCAGTTCTGCATTAAACTCTTGAATTTTATTTTTGTTTACAAATGAGAATTGTTTACTAGAGGGTATCCGCTGGGTCTTGAAAAGTCTTAAAAGGTGATAAATCGGTTTTGGTCAAATTAAGACCCTTAGAAAGTATTAAAAACTATTATCACATCTTTGCTCAGGCTCAGCTAGTCTAAAGTATTTTCTCTGAATTAGCTCTCCAACAGTCAAGGAAATGATTAACCCCCAGAGACCCACGGTTGTAGTATCACAACATCAGATTTAAGTCTACAAAAATAAACCTTCCCCATTTTTTTTCTTTTTAAAACCACATTTACATTGCTAATAGGTCCTATTCAGTTCTGCAACACTATTGGCTGTTAAAATGTGTAAATAGGCCCGTTTATCTGGCCTCCTAGAACAACATGTGAAAGGTTAAAAATATTTTGCAGTTGTTTTCTAAATTTGGGTTTCTGGGGGTTAAAAAGCTAAATAAAACGTCGAGCTCCATCGTTTAAGGTTCCTTCTGCCCAGCGGTTCCACGGTTGCTAGGCGACGGAACGTTCGCCGAGGGAGTTCATGAAGGCTAGGCCTGTCCAAATTCACAGCCGTTAACATCCGGTCTACCCGGCCGACGGAGGACGCAGCCCACGTCGGCCGGGTGGGCTGGGTCCTTCGAAGGATGCAGACCCTGAATTGAGACACAGCCGTAGAATCGAAAGCAAAATGTATCTCTTCACTGTGCGTTTGCCTTTTTAACACCTTAAACAGCTGAAAATTCTCCTCAGCCTTCCTCGGTGTCTACAGGAGCAGTCCACCACTAAATTAAACAAATCAGCTGTGTTCACGATCTAACAGCATGCAGGTAACGTGCTGGAACCAGGTGCCAGGTGTCCAACAGACTGGATCTCTAAAGTTGCAAGTGAAAATTTCTGACCACAGGGGGCTGGGTCACCTTTCATTAACCAAGTAAAGAGTCATTTTCACACATACTGGATCAAGAAAAGTATTTAACAGCGTGTCTGAGCAGAACCTCCCTGAACCGTCTACAGGTGGTTCAGAATGCCTGTGCTCGGCTTCTGACCAAGTCCTCCAAACAAACCCACATCAGCCCGCTAATCCTCCAGCTTCACTGGCTGCCAGTCAACTTCAGGGTTCATTTCAAGATCCTGGTTCTGGTCTATAGGGCCTTACATGGACAAGCACCATCATACATTGGTGATCTTCTTAGTCCCTACACCCCCAGCAGGTCCCTGAGGTCCAGTGATCAAAGCCTACTGGTTGTGCAGCATCAGGCTGAAGACCAGAGGTGACAGATCATTTGCTGTTGTGGCCCCCAGACTCTGGAACTCTCTCCCCCTGAGCCTGAGATCAGTGGACTCAGTGGTCTCCTTTAAAAAGCAGCTGAAGACTCACTTGTTCAAGCTGGCTTTTGTATGACCTTCTTCACCACTCTCTCTTTATTCTGCTCTCCCCACCTATCCCACCTTCCTCAGGATCCACTGATTTACCTCTTTCCTATTCACTCTCTCTCTTTCTTAACTTTTTTCTTTTAAATCGCAATTGCTTATTCTTGCTCATTTTAAATATATTTTAAACATTTTCAAAATGCTTTTTTCTATTTTTACAATTTTAATATTTTTTGTTTTTGTTTTTGTGAAGCGCCTCGTGATTTTTATCTTGAGAGGCGCTATAGAAATGATATTTTCTTGTTCTTAAAAATGTGAAAAACTATCTCTTTAACCTTTTGATGTTCACATCAGAAAGTAAATCAGTAAAAACGTGTCTTACGGCTTTTATATTCCCACTTAGATTATAACATGCACACTGGTGCAGTTTGCTGAACTGTTGCCTGATGTGAGAAGGTCCTGGGTTCAAATTCCAACCAGGGGTGGAGTTGTACTTGAAAGTAATTTGTTAAGTTTTCATTCAAACATCCTGAAATTTTTAGAAGTATTTTTTAGTTTGTAGTTTTAATCTTGTTGTTTTCAGCTGGTTTTAGTTCATACTTCAAATAGATATAAGGCAGGGGCCAACAACTGTAGTCCTTAAGGGCAACCATCCTACTAAATTTTTTGTTTCATTTCTCCAACACACTTGAATGAAATCATTTAATCACCATCTTGGGTGCGGCAGAAACCTGCAACTTAATCTTTTATTGCAATCAGGTCTGTTGGAGCAATGAAGCAACTAAAATGTACAGAACATCAAGTCTTCAAGTTGCCTGGAAATGTCCTGATGGTCAAAAGGGTCAACTTGCATGCAAAACTGATGAGAACAAATACAAACTTTGCATTTCTTCAAACAACATTGCAATAATTAAGAGTGTAGGGAGTGTATGTAGGAGTGTGCATGCAACCTTCTAAGATCCTAATACCTTCTATGTCTGATGCAACTGGCTTTGCACAAAGACCTGAGCTGCACCAGAATGCTCTCAGATGTGTTGAATGAAGTGAGAAAGGCTGTTTCTTACTGAGGTGGCCCCATTTTCCCTTCAGCATTTCCATGCAACTTATTTTTTTCTGTTTCGTATTTAATGAAGCTGGAGGCTGCCAGCACCACATTTATTCTTTCTGAACTCTTCTGTGTTGAATCTTTGAAATAAAAATCAAAAACAGCCAAACAAACAAAACCAAACAAGCAAAGAAAACATCATCGCCAATCTCAACAACAAAAAAAGAAAAATAAATTCCCTATTTAAAAGGGAAAATCAGAGAAACGCTAAAACAAGCTGCCGTTGCAGATTATAAAACATCTGAGATGTGTTGGTAATGTAATCATTATACTATATAACCTGGTGTGACGTAGACTTTTCAGCTGAAATCTTAAATTTAACATAATTCACATTTACACGTCTTCTCACTTTGCAACATTGAAGGTGAAGCCGTTTCTTTGATTCTCTTGTTCTCTCTTGGTAGAATTTCTACGGTGTGATGAAGTCTTTTATTGTTGCACACATCTATTTACACATATCACCTAGATTTAGAATTAAACTTAAATGGGTTTTATTTGGTTGTTGTTGTTTAAACAAAAACTCGCTTTTAATGGCTAAATCAAGATTGCTGTCTGCTTTTGGCACTGCAATTTATTCATAACATTCTTGTTCCAATTTCCTTTATGTAAAAAATTGTTTCTCTGAAATTTCTACTGCTGTTTGAACAAATCTGTCCTGAAATCTCAAAGTGCCTCTAGTGGATGAGTTTAAGAAGAAGAACAAAATATCATTTCTACAGCGCCGCAAGATAAAAATCATGAGGCGCTTCACAAAAACAAATAATGTAAAAATATAAAAAATAATTTAGAAAATGGTTAAAAATATATTTAAAATGAGCAAAAAACAGACAATTGTGATTTAAAAAAAGTTAAGAAAGAGAGACAGTGACTAGGAAAGAGGGAAATCAGTGGATCCTGAGGAAGGTGGAATAGGTGGGGAGAGCAGAATAAAGAGAGAGTGGTGAAGAAGGTCGTACAAAAGCCAGCTTGAACAAGTGAGTCTTCAGCTGCTTTTTAAAGGAGACCACTGAGTCCACTGATCTCAGGCTCAGGGGGAGAGAGTTCCAGATGATCTGTCACCTTTGGTCTTCAGCCTGATGCTGCACAACCAGTAGGCTTTGATCACTGGACCTCAGGGACCTGCTGGGGGTGTAGGGACTAAGAAAATCACCAATGTAAGATGGTGCTTGTCCATGTAAGGCCCTATAGACCAGAACCAGGATCTTGAAATGAACCCTGAAGTTGACTGGCAGCCAGTGAAGCTGGAGGAGAAGCGGGGTGATGTGGGTGTGTTTGGAGGACTTGGTCAGAAGCTGAGCACGGGCGTTCTGAACCACCTGTAGACGGTTCAGGGAGGTTCTGCTCAGACACGTGAAAAGAGAGTTACAGTAGTCTAAGCGTGAGGAGATGAAGGTGTGGAGAACTGTCTCAAGTTCAGAGCGGGACAGAATGGGACTCAGCTTAGCAATGTTCCTGAGATGGAAGAAGGAAGAGCGAACAAGAGAACCGACATGAGAATCCAGGGTGAGAGCTGGGTCAAAGGTCACGCCAAGATTCCTGACAGAAGGTTTGGTGTGAGAAGCAAGCTGACCAAGAGAGTCTCTGACTTTGGGAACCAGTTGTCTGGGGCACAGATGAGGATCTCAGTCTTATCTTCATTCAGCTGAAGAAAGCTCCCACCATCCAGGTTTTGATAGAGTCTAAGCAGGTGTGTAACAGCTGCAGCTTAGACATCTCATGTGGCTTAAAGGAGATGTACAGCTGGAAAGAATCTCTAGGCCTGTTAAGTATCTCAGGGTCTTGTTCAGGAGTGAAAGAGGGAAAAATGGAGCGTGAGGTCGATAGGCGGATTGGCGCTGCATCTGCAGTGATGCGGGCGTTGCACCGGTCTGTTGTGGTGAATGGATGTGTGTCAGAAGGCGAGGCTCTCGATTTACTGGTTGATCTACGTTCCCACCCTCACCTATAGTCATAAGTATTGGGTAGTGACCAAAAGAATGAGATTGTGGATACAAGCAGTTGAAATGAGTTTTCTCCGCAGGGTGGCTGGGCTCTCCCTTCGAGTTAGGGTGAGAAGCTCGGTCATCCGGGAGGGGCTCGGAGTAGGTCTGCTGCTTCTCCACATTGAGAGGAGCCAGTTGAGGTGGCTCGGGCATATGGTTGGGATGCCTCCTGTATGCCTCTCTGGTGAGATTTTCCAGACACATTCAAATGGGAGGAGACCTAAAGGAAGACCTAGGACACGCTGGAGGGAACACCTTGGCATTTCCCCGGAGGAGCTGGTCCAAGTGGCTGGGGAGAGGGAAGTCTGGGCCTCTCTGCTTAGGCTGCTGCCTTTGCGACCCGACTGTGAATAAGTGAACGTAAATGAATGGATGGATCTCAAAGGGTCAAATCTTTGACTTTGTGTCTTTTTCAGTGACTTCCATTGCATAAATGTGTGTATCTAACCATATAAATTCCCTTCAAACTCACATTAAAATGCACTCGTTTGCAGTTTTGTATTTGACTGAGAAAAGTGTTCATCGATTCAGACTGGG